GCACATGCACATGCATGCACCCCACACCCCCACACAAAGCTGTGCCCCAAAGCCCATCCATGTTGTTACAGGGCCAGTGTGGAGATACAGGACATGGGGGGAGCCAGGGACGTGGTGGATCAAGGGAATGCTTCTGGATGAGGCTGCCCCAGCCACCCATTCCCACAATGCTAGAGCACGGGCACTTCCTCCTTCCATGCCACCACCATGCTCACCTGTATTGTGTCTGCTTGGAAATGGCTCTTCTCCCCTACATCTTGTCCTGGAGGGCAGCAACAGGCTCTTGGGACCCTGCACATAGGTACTTGTGGCGAGCTGGGGGAAGGGAAACAGTGCTCCAGTGTTGGAGTTGGGTGCATATATCAGGGAGCTGGGGCTTTCTGGAACCCCAGTGTGGATATGACACGCACACCTGGTGCCAGGTGGTAAATTATGAACTCTGTAAACAATGGAATGTGTAAACCAATAAGCTTGCTCCTGTTGTCTGTGGCAGGGATTTCCTGCAATGAGGGAGAGGAAAATCTAGTTCACAGTGTTCATGAAAACCCTGTGGCCAGCCTTCTATTCATCCATCTGTCCATCCGTCCGTCCATCCATCTGTCTCTCTCTCACACACCCACACACCCCATATGATATACACTTGTATATACAAGTGTACAGCCTGGAACAGGACTGGGCTAGGCTGGGGTCCCTCTTGCTGTAGGACACCCCTGGGCCACTGGAGTGAAATCCAAGACTTTTGCAAAGGTGGCTGCTGAGATGAAAGGGGCCATAAGTGGAATCAGCCAAATAGGTGGCAAAGACAGACAGACTGTCTGTCTGAGGATTACAGTTTGAAGCCAGCCCAGGTAAGAAATTCTTTATCTCCCATTAGCTACCAGATGCCAGAAGTGGGACTGTGGCTCAAGAGGTAGAGAGCACTTTTCACTTTAGTGAAAAAGGAATAGCAAGCTGGGCGCTGTTGGCTCATGCCTGTAATCCTAGCTACTCAGGAGACTGAGATCTGAGGATCACGGTTCAAGTCTGTGAGACTCTTATCTCCAATTAACCACTAGAAAAACCAGAAGTGGGCTGTGGCTCATGGTAGAACACTAGCCTTGAGTTGAAGAGCTGAGGGACAACACCCAGGCCCAGAGTTCAAGCCCCATGACCGAAAAAAAAAGGATAGCAACCAAGCCCACACATTTTATTCTCAATTCACCAAATAGCATTTATTCATGGATTATCAGCACTAAGCTGGTGCTGGGTTGGGCACACTAGAGCACACAAGAAGTTAGTGACTGATTCTTGTGTTTGCTCCTCCTGCCTTCATGCCCTCAGCTCCCTTCACCCCCTCAGCTTGTGTTCTGGGCATCTTGGACACTTCTGATCCTTTCTGCTGTCCATAATGCTGTGGTTTGGGTTCTCTTCATTTCTTATCTTCCTCTTTAGTTTATATGTCTTATTTTTTTGCTGTATTCTTTATGGATTTCAACTTCATAAATACTTCGTTCTTATTGTTGTTTGTTTTCAGATCTCAAGAATACCAGTGAATTTTTTCTCCTTGTGTGTTAGTTCCTTTAAAAAGTAATATTCAGGGCTGGAAATGTGGGTTAGTGGTAGAGTGCTTGCCTAGCACTGGGTTCAATTCCTCAGTAACACAAAAACAGAAAAGGCCAGAAGTGGCACTGGCTCAAGTGGTAGAGTACTAGCCTTGAGCAAATAAAGCTCAGGGACAGTGCCCAGACCCTCAGTTTAAGCCCAAGGACTGGAAAAAAAAAAGTAATTTTCAGCTGGGCACTGGTTGCTCACACCTGTAATCCCAGCTACTCAGCACGCTGAGATCTGAGGATCACAGTTCAAAGCTAGCTTGGGCAGGAAACACCATGGGACTCTCTTCTCCACTTAACCCCAAAAAGCTGGAGGCAGAGGTGTGGTACAGCACTAGTCTTGAGCACAAAAGCTCAGGGATAGTACACAGGTCCTAGCCCTAGGCCTTGGAGAATTTGGGAAGGGGCAAGGGAAAGGAGGGGACAGAGGGGTACTATGACTTTAACGCATTGTGTACATGAATAGACTTGATGGACTTGTTAAAATGAAAGCCTGCTGCATAACCAATGTCAACTTTTTTGGGGGGAGGGGGCGGGGAGGGCTGGTCGTGAGGCCTGAACTCGGCCTGGGAGCTGTCCTCAGCTCTTCAGCTTAAGGCAAGCACTCTACCACTTGATAGCACCACTTCTGGCTTTTTTTCCTTATGTGGTGCTGAGGAATTGAAGCCAGGGCCTCATGCAAGGCAAGCACTCTACCACTGAGCCACCTTCCCAGCCCTCAATGTCAAGTTTTAACAAAAGTAACTGTCAAAGATGGCACTTCTATCACCTTCTAGGTAATATTTCCCTATCCTTTTCTGAGGAATGTTGGAACAGGCTCTCCACAGATTTTCTGTTATGCTCACTGTCAGATTAAAGAAGGAATTTGTCACTGTGTGCCATCCCAGAGTTGGTTAAATAAAGCACCTTTTCACATTTCCCAGTAGCTGACTGGCATTTCCCAGGATGGAGCTGGCACCTGTTAGTGCAGGAATGTGAGGATAAGATCTTACCTTCCCTAAGCATTTCACTGAGAATAAACGGAGAGTAAACAGTCCGATCCCTCCCCAGGTGCTGGCAGTGGGGCTCTTCCAGTTGCTAACAGCAACCACAGCCCTGCCTGCCCTGCTGACTTTGCTTTGGGCACAGAGCAGCCTCACAGCCAGGCTCACTCTGCTTCTTGCCTAGGTGTTTCCAAGGGTTCAAGAGAACCTCAGGTGGTGGTGGGGGAAGGGGAGAGAAGGGAGGCAAACTATGGGGCTGCAGCTGCTGGGAAAGCTGACCTCCAGCCAGGCTGTGCTCCTGTAGCTGCAAACCTTGATTTTTACACGTGTGTGCAGACAGGGAGGGAGGAGGACAAGGAGAAACACCTCCATCCTAGGAGACTTAGAACTGGCAGTTCTCCCGGCTGGTCCTACCTGCTCTCGAGCTGGTGGAAACCCCTTCGTCTTCTCGTTGAAGAAGTTGGATGTGTGTCCATGTTTGGGAGATTTTCAATGGTTCTCCTGTGCCTGGTCATTTAGTTAGAAGCAGGAAGAAGCCACTTAAATGGAAAAGCCTTAATTAATGTTAAGAAACTCCACATAGTGACTTCTTTCCTGTGGTAACTTAAGACTGCAGCAGGGAAAAGCAGATAAAAGCAAAGAAGGTTTGAATCCAGTGTTGCCTGACCTTCAAAGCCAGATGATAACAGGAATTCAAGGCCTCTGTTCGCTAAGCACATCTGTGCAGCATCTAAGTGCATGAAGAAGAGAATGCAAATAGACAACGCAGACCCTACAACAGTGGTTTTAAAAAATGGTAATAAAAAAGCTGGGTACTGGTGGCTCACGCCTGTAATCCTATATACTATGGAGGCTGAGATGTGAGGATTGTGATTTGAAGCCAGCCAGAGCAGGAAAGTCTCAGACTTATCTCCAATTAACTACCAAAAAGCCAGAAGTAGAGCTGTGTCTTAAATGGTAGAGGGTTAGCCTTGAACACACACAAAAAAGCTCAGGGACAGTGCCCAGACCCTGAGTTCAAGCCCCAGGTCTGGCACCAAAATAAAAAGAAAACGTAATCAGCCAAGTGCTTGTGACGCTTGAGGCTGAAATTTGAGGATTATAGTTTGAAGGCATCCCTGGAAAGAAAGACCGTGAAACTCTTATCCTCCATTAAGCACCAAAAGAAAGTTGAGGTGTAGGTAGTAGAGCTCCAGTCCTGAGCGAAAAAGCTAAGTGAGAGCATGAAGCCTTATTTTCAAGTTCTAGTACTGGCAAAGAAGAAAGAAGGAAGAAGAAGAAGAAGGAGGAGGAGGAGGAGGAGTAAGGAGGAGGAGGGGGAAGGGGAGTAAGGAGGAGGAGGGGGA